TCAAGAAGGAAAACACCTATATATAAAAATCTTTATATTTCCATTCATACTACATATTAAAACCATCTATTTTTCTTCAATTCTTTTGTAGCTCTGGAACAAGGTGGGTTTAATGTACAATTGTCTGTTCTCTGAAAAAAGTACACATATGATATTTGGGACATATTTCCATCTCAAACCAAGCTCTGCATGTATAGAAGTGTAAAAATGTCCCACAAAGTCAATTATTTGTTTTTGGTTGACATGAAGAGCTGCATCTCTCCAGAACTCCTATCAATGGTTTATACCATTGTTTAGTATTTACGATGTTTTTATTGTTAGCCACTTCGAAGGCCCTAAGCCTGAAAAGTGGCAGGGGAGGGGAATCTAAATAAATTAGTGGTTACAATTTCAGTAACGTTCTCAGGCAATTTAAATAGTATACTAAAAACCAAACCCATCAGTTCGGTAATAATAACCACCTAATCATATGCTGTAATACACCTCCTTTGATTTTGCCTTTATTCTTTGAGAAACAATTGTATATAGTCTTCTGATGCCAGAGTATGAAAATGTTAAGGAGCAGGACAGCGTAGCAAATGTATGCAGTAATTGAAGTCTGGAATTTTTATCATATAACTTTTTGGTAATATACAAAACTGTTGTATTAGATAATGTGAAATGAGACATTTCTCAGTTGCTGCATTTAAAAGAATTTTGTCTGTGGAATTGAGCAGGCTTGGGGGAGGGGCTCTACAGAGGATCTGAATATAAGTATGCTGTGTGACGGTACCTCTCTCTTATTTTGTGTGGTTAGGGTGTGATGTAGTTTTAAATTTCTTGTTGTTTCTTTCTCTCACTCAAAGTATCTATCGCTGCCTCCAGGAATTTCATTCCAGTCTTTAATTAACCTTTCCCACAGTATTAAGCCCAAGCTCTAAGGCTCCTTCGTTAGACTATGTGGTTCTGACGATAAGACTCTGGGTTAACAATAAACAAGATAAAACCTTATTGGTAAAAGAAGCGTATTGGTTACAAGATATTTTGTTAAGTTGCTCAGTAAAATCTTTCACTTTCCCCCCTCACACTCTTATAATACTCTGACAATATTAGATTTTGCCTAAATTGCCCCATGAAGTACTTTTCTTTCACAGCACCTCTATATGATTCTAATTAGAAGACTGCTTCTCAGACTCTGTATATTGACCACAACTGACAGCTGCTGACTTCAGACCGAACACTCTGCCTTCTCTCTACACACACACACACACACCCCTCCTAACTCTGCCCACACACTCTCATCACCAACCAATCGCTGCACTCACTCATCCCCCACTTTCACCCCCTTGTTCTTCTGACACTTACCAATCGTTTAAAGAAACACACACATATAACTTGAAATCATTACACTCTGGCTTCTCCATCCAGTGTTTGTTTATTTTTTTGGCCACTAGCGCCATAGAGCCACTATGTCCACAAGGACCACATTCTTCTGCAGGAATGGGATTCTGTGCCAAGTTGAAAGGAACGAGGCGGCCCAAGTATGCAAGAGTTCATGTGTACAATCAATTTGTGATTCTTCCTCAGGTGCATTGACACATTAATGTGCTGCCCACCTGGATCTGTGCTATGGGTAGTTATAAGAGAATTTTAAAGGTATTAAAATAGCTGGCTTTTTTCTTATGTAGTCTGCATCTTTGGGAAGGAAGTGTGAGCCTTCCCTGTCTCTTGCTCTCTTCCCTTCTTTCTGTTTGTAGCTGTCACTCTCCTCCCCACTTTGCAAGCTTGTTTTCAACATTTAATGTCAGTCCTATTTTTAATGCTTGTTTGTTTGTTGGCTAGAATAGTAAACCAAAAAAGAAGACAGCTGGTTGAACAAACAATATAAGAGCTACTATTTTCTGTTGAGGATTTATTACAGACACCTCTGTGTTGATAACAAATAGTGAGGGTGTGTTTAAATTTCAAAGAAAAAGCAGAGGTTTGCTCATTTGTTTGTCCATTGTGAAGCTGTCCCGCACTTTTATGTTGCTTATAACGGGGAAGGCAGCTGAATAGAGGCGTCGTGCCATTTGTTGATTTTAAATCCTGCCATTAATCCAGAGGAACCTGCTGGCCTACGCAGCAGGAGAACTGTGTTACAAGCAAAAATCTGGAAGGGGGAATAGGGGGCATCACAGTGGATAATAATCATTCAGCCACCAGCTTTTCTCACTCTTGGGCCTAATTGTGGCTTTGCTAGTAACCATACCGAAGGGTTACTTTTAAGATTTTTATTGACACATACTTAAAAGGTTCTGTGAACCCCCAAAAGAAATAGACATACCAATTTTATTGTTAGATTCAAATCCAGTAGCGCCTTAGAGACCAACAAGATTTTCAGGGTATGAGCTTTTGAGAATCAAAGTTTCCTTCATCAGATACAAAGTTCTGACTAAGGCAGCTTTGACTCTTGAAAGCTCATACCCTGAAAATCCTGTTGGTCTCTAAGGCGCTACTGGACTCGAATCTGGATGCTGTAGTGTAGACCACCACAGCTACCCCCTGAAACCAGTTTTATTGGCATTTTTGAAAAATACACACACACACACACACACACACACACACACACACCGGCCCGGATATTATTCAGATTTTCTTTGACACAGAAGTTAGGATGAAAGAAGTGGCTAGACATAACAGTGCGTGTTTATTCAGAGATTTTCCTGCGTTGGATCTCTATTAGAATGGAGCAGAGAGTTCACTTGCTTGAAATAGAAGCCTTGCAGTTTAAATGTATGTATACTGTTATCCATAAAAAGCATAACTTTTTGTTCTGTTAGTCATTAAGAGTAATGTTAGACTACCTCACTGGAATTTGTTTCTGTGTGCCTATCCTCTTTCTTACACATTTGGAGGTCCATATGGGACAGAATGTCACACTTAATCCATCCACTAAGACTAACCAAACTTATAGTGTCACTGGACCAGCAGTAGCTACTGTTGGACCAGATCCTTTGGGCTGTCTGGATCGTACTTTCCAAGAAGCAGATGTGTAACTATGAATGCACTTTAGGAGGTGTGCATAAATTATTCTCATGTAAAAATGTTGTATGTAAAAATAATTGTTCCCATTCAGTTGTTTATCAAAATTGCAAGCTAAAATACAGGAAAAAACAAACTGAGAGCAATCTGTTATGCAAACTGGGGTGGGGGGGAAGCAACAACAAAAACAGTTCTCTTTCACTTGAACATAAAGGTGTGATATCTCTTTTCTACAATTGGAAACTGGTTCTTCAACTTTCATGTGCCACTAACACATGCTAAAATAAGTATTTCACATTCTGTCCTGCTTCTTGGCTGTATATTTAAGAACCAAGAAGGAAGGGCTGATTAGAGTTGCAAGGACGACTTTCAATGAACATACACCTGTAAACAGAAAATAAGACTAGTTTCTCCATTTATTTCATAGGCAATTATTACATTTTTTACTTTTGTTGAATTTGAAAAAGAAATTCTCTTCTTGCACCTAAACTACTGGGAATGTTTTCAGAAGGGGGGGGGGAATGAATTTTGTTCTTTTTTCACTTTGATGTCCCATGCTTGAAACCTATGCTGTAGGCTTTGTTGGCTCTTGTGGTGATTCTGTCACAAGTAATGTAAAGAATGTGGGATTTACACATGAATTAACTAGTTGCAGGATTTCCAAAACCATATTAAAGCTTCTCCCAAAGCAATTTAATTTTGAAATATATTGAGATAGAAACATAAGGCACAATCCGTGTCCACCTTGGGCAAAGCGCCCAACTATGGAGCATCCTGGTTCTGTTCTCCTTTTCCCAACTTACCCACATATGACTCTGGAGCATGAGCAACATACGTTAAGTAGAGGGATGGGATTTTATAGGGTTATGGCAGGGGTGGCTAGACTTCCTTAACGTAAGAGCCACATAGAATAAACGTCAGATGTTTGGGAGCCGCAAGGCATGAACAAAGATTACACACGTTTTTACTGGGAAACATGCAAATTTGCTTTTTTTAAACATTAAATGAGACTGCCAAAAATAATAACAAAAGCGGTAGAAGCAAATATTGATAATGATATTTATTTGTCCAATGACATTTGTTTGCTTGAGGACATGAAATTAAGCAAGCTCAGGAGGATGACGGAAGACAGGAGGGCTTGGCGTGATGTGGTCCATGGGGTCGCGAAGAGTCAGACTCGACTGTGCGACTGAACACCAACAAAAATTTGTTTGCTAGTGATATTTAGCTTCCCCAGCCGCCCTGCCGGGAGCCGCACAATATGTGTGAAAGAGCCGCATGCAGCTCCCGAGCCACAGTTTGGCCACCCCTGGGTTATGGGAAATGGACATCAGTTCACCCAGAGAGCTTCTTCAGCTACTTGCATGTACTCCAGGAGGGGAAAAGGTGTACTGGATTATGCCCTTAATGTTGTATATTTTTAGAGCATAGTGAAATGTACATTATTTAAGAAATATTGTACAATTGTTCTAGTGTTTTAAGAAATGATAAGCAACACACTCTTATGTAACTTTTCTCTTTTTTCATTGGCTTCTCCACAAAAAGACTTAGGGCTTGATTCAGTCCCAGGGCTGGGGCAGCACATGCAAGGAGGATTTCTGTAGAGCCAAACAGACCTTTGAGGGAATGGGGAAAGAAACCAGGATTTGTTGATTCCTATGAAAATCTTCACATGCAGTTGTTGAACTGGCAACGGAACTGCATCACATGGACATAAACCAGCATGGTGTTGTGGTCAGAATATCAGACTAGGATGTGGGGAGAATCAGGTGTAAACCCCCACTCTGCCATGGACACTTGCTGGGTGATCTTGGGCCAGTCACATACCTTCAGCTTAACCTGCCTCACAGGGTTGTTATGAGGATGAAATGATAAGAGAGGAGAATGTTGTGAGTCTTTGGGTCTCCATTGGGGAGAAAGGTGGAATACAAATGAAGTAAATCTCATGATTAGATTTCAGCATAAATAACAGATGGTTTCATATCTGTTTTATCCAGGATATGTCTCAGGAAAGTTATGGAACCAGATCCCAACCACCTCTTACCCAAGGCAAGCCTAACCATGAAGAACTGAACCTAATACAACAAGAGAGACCATCAAGCCTACCAGTAAGAGATTAGTTGTCATCTGATTGAAAAGTATAATGTTTTGTGTTGAAAATAAGATTATTAATACTAGAGCAACAAATGAGATTTTGGAATTCTGATTGGTTTTTGATATCCAAATCCAAACAACATGGTTTCATGTATTCAGTTTACTGACTGTGGGAATTTCCTTTTCTCTGAAAGATGGCTTAATAATTGCCACCAAATATCTTGACAAGTAATGTGTTATCCTTCCATAAATGAACTTTTATATGACATGTGAGAATATGCAGTTTTCACTGCACGCATACACACATGCACACATACATGGTATTATGCTACAAATTGATCTCCTAATGTGTGCCTGCATGCGTTCGTTTTTGAATGTTTGTTTTAAAATGGTACAGAATAGATTTCTTTTAACTCTTGCTACCTTTGCCACTGGCAGAATTTTTCCTCAATTTATTTCAAACCAGCTTTTAAGTAGGTGGTGTTTCAGCCATTTCAAATGCAAAATTTTCACTTAGAAAACTTGAGATGTTTCATTTACCCTGACCTGGATAGCCCAGGCTAGCGTGATCTCGTCAGATCTCAGAAGCTGGGCAGGGTGGGCCCTGGTCAGTATTTGGAAGGGAGACTGCCAAGGAATACCAGGGTCATGACATGGAGGCAGGCAGTGGCAAACCATCTCCAAACATTTCTTACCTTGAAATCCCCACAGGGTCACCATATGTCAGGTGTGACTTTATGGCAAAAAAAAAGAGTTTCATTTGGATGACTTTCCATAGGGCTGGAAGTACTACTGGATAGCCTGATGATTTAACAATATGACAAGTCATTTTATCACATACAAGCATGGGGTGATTGCATGGGGTGAATGGTGGTGAAGTAAAGTTTTTGTGTGTTATTCTTGTTATATGATATTACATTCTTAACTACTTGAATGAATCTGCTCCTTATTGACAATGTGGAAAACATTTTTGAATGATAATAGGCTAATTCTCATGTTGTGAAGTAGTGAGAAAACACGGAGTATCATGAATAAATCTTGAAAGGGTGATATGCTAATAAAAGCAAATCTGTTGTAACCAAAAAGAAAGCTTGTTGTTGGCTGCAATCCTAGCATATTTATTAGGAAGTAAATCCAATTTAGGTTAGTAGGATTGTCTTTCTTTCAAAAACATGTAGGAGTGGATTATTTCAAAAACCTACAGTATAGCCCAGTGCCTATATATTTATTTGTAATTGCTGTTTTAGAAATGCCATATTTTTTGCTTATGGTGAGTTTTGCTGGATGTTTGCATTTTTATGAAGAATAGCAGATCAGTTCTGACTGGTATTCTATCTATATTAACTTTATTCACAGTTTAAGAAAAATTTTTTAGGGGGGGGGGAATCCTAGGGATTAGCAAACCTAGTAGCAATTTCTGACCTGGATGGCCCAGGCTAGCCTGATCTTGTCAGATTTCAGAAACTAAGCAGGATCAGCTCTGGTTAGTACTTGGATGGGAGACTACCACGGAAGTCCAGAGTTGCTACACAGAGGCAGGCAATGGCAAACCACCTCTGAATGTGTCTTGTCTTGGCAACCCTCCAGGTTTGCTATAAATCATTGCAATTTGATAGCACATTCCACCACCACTACCAATACTCATCCATGTACGGATTTGATTGAATTAATTCCTGACTGGTTTTTTTTAGTTTGTGTTTTTGTAAGGTTTGAAACAACGCATCGATGAAAACTGATATTGTTGAACTGTCTGATAAAGCAGTTTACAGATATGTTCTCATAGGGTCATAGAAAATCTTGTTCCAAAATAGCTCTTAAATTGTTTAATCTGACAGTATATGAGGTTGAGATACTCCAGTTTTTTTATGCTTGTTGATTGTTGCACACATGCTGAAACTAACTGAAGCAATGACAGCCATGGGGCTGTTTCAGTATATCATGAACCCTACTCATAGTGCAGTGTGTACCCTTGATTTAGTTTCTGTACCAGAACAGAGTTAAAAGGTTCAGTCTATTTCTGCTTTTTATAGACTGACAATTTCTTGGTGAGGTTGTCCTGCTGTAATCTCAACATGGGTAGGGGATCCGTTAGGATTGTCCACACTAATAGGATGATGGATCTATATTATTCCTGAATACCCTTGGGGTGTTTCCTGCTGGCATGACTGGCACTGCTGTCAGTGCACTGGTGAATTTCTGGAATCGGGAGATGGCTCAAGCAGTTGATAATAATTATCTGAGTCAGATTGAGGTGACGAGAGAGGAGGTCCTACAACTGATAGACAACTTGAAAAGTCATAAATCACCAGGCCCAAATGGCATACATCTGAAAGTTCTGAAAGAACTCAAATGTGAACTTCTGGATCTCCTTACAAAAATATGTAATCTTTCATTAAAATCTGCCTCCATTCCTGAGTACTAGAAGGTAGCTAATGTCACTCCCACCTTTAAAAAGGGTTCCAGAGGAGATCCGGGAAATTACAGGCCTGTCAGTCTGACGTCGATACCAGGTAAATTGGTGGAAACTGTTATTAAGGAAATAATTAGTAGGCACATTAATGAACAAAAACTATTGAGGCAGACTCTGCATGGGTTCTGTAAGGGAAGATCTTGTCTCACTAACCTGTAAGTGTTCTTTGAGGGAGTGAACAAACATGTGGACAAGGGGGTCCCAATAGATGTTGTTTACCTTGACTTCCAGAAAGCTTTTGACAAAGTTCCTCATCAAAGGCTCCTAAGTAAGCTCAATAGTCATGGGATAAAAGGACAAGTCCTCTTGTGGATCAAAAACTGGCTAATTAATAGTAAACAGAGAGTGAGTATAAATGGGTAGTTCTCTCAGTGGAGGGTGGTAAGCAGTGGGGTACCACAGGGATCAGTACTTGGTCCGATGCTTTTTAACTTGTTTATTAATGATTTGGAGTTGGGAGTAAGCAGTGAAGTGGCTAAATCTGCGGATGACACGAAGTTGTTCAGGGTAGTGAAAAGCAGGGAGGATTGTGAGGCACTACAAAGAAATCTGTTGAGGATGGGCGAGTGGGCATCAACGTGGCAAGTGGGGTTCAATGTGGCCAAGTGCAAGGTGATGCACATTGGAGCCAAAAATCCTAACTATAAATACACATGGATGGGGTCCGGACTGGCAGAGACTGACCAAGAGAGAGATCTTGGAGTCATAGTAGATAACTCAATGAAAATGTCTAGAGAGTGTTCAACTGCAATAAAAAAGGCCAACGTTATGCTGGGAATTATTAAGAAGGGAAAAACAAATCAGCCAGTATCATAATGCCCCTGTATAAATCAATGGTGTGACCTCATTTGGAGTACTGTGTACAGATTTGGTCACCACACCTCAAAAAGGATATTATAGCATTGGAAAAAGTGCAGAAAAGGGCAACTAGGGCTGCGGTCACACACAACATTAGCCACGCAAGAGATACGGAAGACAGGCGGAGTTTCCGGGCGCGATCTCAACCTCCACAGGAGGTATGATCGCTTTACTGCGTGTTAGTTTGCCCCGGGGCAAACAGCCACGCTTCTCCCCCGCAGTTTCCTGCGCGTGTGACCGGGGCCTAGAATGATCAAAGGGTTGGAACACTTTCCCTATGAATAAAGGTTAAAGCGCTTGGGGCTCTTTAGCTTGGAGAAACGACGGCTGGGTTTATAAGATTATGCATGGGATAGAGCAGGTTGAGAAAGAAGTACTTTTCTCCCTTTCTCACAATACAAGAACTTGTGGGCACTCAATGAAATTGCTGAGCAGTCGGGTTAGAACCAATAAAAGGAAGTACTTCTTCACCCACAGACTGATTAACACATGGAATTCACTGCCACAGGAGGTGGTGGCGGCTACAAGCATGGACAGCTTCAAGAAGGAATTAGGTAAGCATATGGAGCAGAGATCCATCAGTGGCTATTAGCCACAAGGTATAGATAGGAACTCATGGTCTGGGGCAAGTAATGCACTGTATGCTTGGTGCTTGGGGGGGGCAACAGTGGGAGGGCACTGCTGGACCTCCTGATGGCACCTGGCATTTTTGGCCACTGTGTGACAGAGTGTTGGATTAGATGCGCCTTTGGCCTGATCCAGTATTGGCTTCTCTTATGTTCTTATGTTTTTATGTTGTTGAGTCCTTTCAGCCCACTAGTTTACTAAGTAGCTGGAGGTAATGAAATAGACCACAGGACAGCTAGAGTGTAGGTAGAGTAAAAGTTGTGATAAGCATGACTGAATGCGAGTTATTATTATCAAGCCTACTGAGTAGCAGTGATGGCAGTGAAACATTCGTGCTTCTCTGCCATCATAGTTACTGCTG